GAAACTCGTTGTACTACAAAAGCTTGAAATGAACGTTCAACTCATTGTTTTTTATTGAAAATATGTCACTGTCTTCATTTATTATGTATAATTTCACTAGCAGCAAACACATTTAAAAGGAGATGCTTGTCAAGTCTTTTTACACGCGTCGTCCATGGTGCTGAAATCCCTGCTGCAGCCGCCGCTCCTGCTGACAGCAGACCAGGGGAGAAAAAAAAGACATTTCTTTGCTCTGTGCTTTCAGAAAATAACCAGGGTTAGGGTAAGAAAGACCAACGGTCTGTACAGCAGTCCCACTATAATGTGATAAACTAATTTCAATTCAACATGGTCATTTGCTTAGAGGATTCAGCTGAAGCATAATGAGTGTTATATGTCATTAAGATGAAGTATTTGCTTGTTTTGTGGTTAATAATGCACATAATCCATTTGACCCCATCATGAATGAGATTTGTATTCGTTCCTGCAGACAGAGGCAAAAGGATCAATGCGCAGCCTCTGTTTCCTTTGCGTCCATCTCGTTCATTCAAACTTTGTAAACATGGTTGGGATTTGTAGGGGACGTGTATGCTGCTCACTATAAAATGTGTTTACTAAAATGTGTTTACTAGCCTCATTTCTAGTCAAAACAAATCTCTTTACACTTAAAAAAATACTTGTTTCAAGCAAATTTTCACTTGAAATAAGTATGAAAATCTGCCCATGGAGCAAGTTTTTCTTTTTTTTGCTTGCAATAAGAAAAAAAAAACTCCATTGACAGATTTTTTTTCTACTTATTTCAAGTGAAAATTTTCCTGAAACAAGTGAAAATTGTCTAAAAACAAGTTACTTTTTAGGTGATGAGTCTTATTTCAATTGTAATGAGATTTGTTTTGACCAGAAATAAATATTCTTGGTAAGATTTTGAGTTTTTGCAGTGTACATACACATACATACACGGATGTACGTTTTTGACCATGTTGTGACTGTTTGAAGCAGGTCTTCATTCTTGCTGTTGTGGTTTGAGTCGTGTTGGGAGTTAGTGCAGCTCACTGTTCAATAAACAATTGAACTTAACTTTTTTACCTGCCTATCTGTTTGACTGACAGTTTTATTGATCAGTAAGATAACACTGACTTGGCACAAAGTTGGTTCAATTTAGTAAAAAGCTTGGATGTAGTTGCACTAGTTACTTTCATTTTGCTGTAGCTTAGCTTGCTACATTTCTGAGGGTGATAGCTTTGATGGAGTGAAGCTTTATTTAATATTAAATTAACTAGTAGCTTAGCTCACTACACTTTCCAAGTAGCTTGCCCAACACTGGCAGGTATTTGGTCTTGAACCAATGGACATCAAGTGGACAAATTAAAATGTTGGGCCCCATAAAGAAAAGGTCAGGGTATCATCAAAGTCCGTGAGATTCATCCTCTGGGGATCATGAATGTTTGAACAAAATGTCATGGCAATAAAATAGTTGTTGAGATATTTCAGTGTAGACCAAAGTAGTGGAATGTTCCATCCCTAAAGCTGTGACACTCATTTTCATAGTCCAGTCTGACATAAGGAAGATCTCTTCTCATACTGTCTTTCCTGGTTTATTAAGCAGATAACATACCTGCACAATTTGAACTGCCAACTCAAAATATTTATATTAAACATATCTGCTGAACTTTTAACAGTTACGTTTCTGTTAAAACTAAAATAAAATGCAAAACAGTGCAACTCATGATGGGTTTCATCAACTAGTTTTATGCATATGTATTAAGGACAGCCTGTTAAGACTACATGATTTATTGAACACTCAAAACTCTGGTACACCACTGCCTCTCACATGGCATGCTATTAGCATATTGATTGAATTTGACTCCTCTAATGCACAGAAGATGATGATTTTGCAATATTTGGTTGTTTCTTTATTTATAGCGTTTCCACTTAGAGGTTTAGTGCACAAGTTGAAAATATGAAGAAAACCAACTGTCAGCATTTTTACTTGTTTCATATTGTTCATTAAGGTTATTTCAGCTCTACCTTTAGGCTGAAACTAAGGCTAAGATTAGGGAAAGATTATGATTAAAACAATAGAAACATTTTTTTTTAAAGAATTCAAGAAAATGGACCTTGGCATAGGATGTTAAAGTGTACTCTGAAAAGGTAAGTTTTCAGCCAGTGCAGACCCATGGGCAATAATCTTGCTGTCCTGCTGTCGAAGTGATGGGGCGCCTGACTGTCCAGAGGCAGTTGGGCTTCACATTGCAACACTGCAACAGAAAGCCTGTACAAAGAAGTGGCCTGGTGTATTACATGTACTGCTACGTTTTTCTGCTACATTTTTTTCTATCAGAGCTACATGTGTCCCTTTTGAATTGGGTAGTGCCAAAAATTGCAGTTCCTGAAATGGCCACTTGAGCCTTGAGGCTGGCTCAGAGACCAAATAAATCCCCATAGGCCCCCATGTTAAAATGCCCAACTTTACAGCAGAAATAAACATGTTTACAGCCTGGTACAAAAAATGGTTTTGGTCTCTATAGCTTTAAGGTTTTAAGATACACATAATTAAGGGAGTGACCCTTTTTTTGTGACAGACCCACTACAAAGTTACACCACAGTCTAGGGGTCAGATGGTGACATACCAAACCATGGTGAACAGTGATGGGCAAGTTACATCCAAAATATAATACATTATATATTATTAGTTATTGTTATTTGAAAGTAATTAGTTACATTACAATATTACTATCTCTGAATTGTAATGCGTTACACTACTTTTGCATTACTTTTGAGTTACTTTCAACAAAATAGCCGCAGAAATATATGACTAAGCATTTAAAATGCTAAAATGCAGATTGTTGTAGCTGATTATTTACATTCAGTGGAGGGTGATGTAACATAATGACAGTGTAGGCCCCTAAAGCTACTAACAATTTAATATAATAGGCACAGTAAAGGCTCATGGCGCAATACAATAAGTAACAATGACTGTTAGAATCATACAAGCAGACAAAGGATCAAAGTCTGTAAGTTATGATAGAGATGCTGCAAATATTTGAAGTCTTGGCCTATTCATATGAAACAAAATAGAGCTAGAGCCCACTATAACATAACCTATAGCCTTATGATATGACAAACACACAAAATTAAGAAGATAGCTAGATGTTAAACTCATGCTGTGTTTAAATTGGTCAGACTATATTCGGATACCTGTTAAAAAAAAAAAAAAAAAATGAACATGAGATGCACAGATTCACTTCTCCTCAATAGCATGGACTCGCCAATTAGGTTGTTATTTAAAATAATAACAAGGTAGATGGCCGCATGGCCCACTCTCTATGACAGCGTTAGCTTACCTTGTCATTGCTGGTGTTCACAGGGATTTTGCTGACAAGCTTTCTGAACGCTGGCGATTCTGCCGTTGCTAGGGAGTGCATGTCTTCCACAATATATTCTGCCACCAGTCTCCTCACTTCTCTGGCTTCAAGAACCATGGCAGACCGAGAGAAACTTAACTTTTGTTGCTTTGTCTGTCCCGTATGCTCGTCCTCTTTTTTCTTTCTCTTCTCCGCAGGTGCATCTCTCTCTCTCTCTCTCTCAGCTTAGTGTTAGCGTGGCACCGGTCCAGGTGTTTCTTTAAGTTACTCGTGCTATTTTTTGACGTCAAGAGTTCCCTCAGTGTCGCACACAGATTGCATTTTACAATTATGTTTTTCTCCTTCTCTCTGAGGAACTGAATGTCCATCGCGCAAATGTAGAGTCCAGGAAGTAAATTTGGCTCAGGCCCTTCTTGTAGATGACCTTAGTGTTGTATGAACATTTCAGTTTGTCATCCAAATGTCCAGGTACGTTCACAGGTTTGCCCCGTTCATGGGAAACCTGGAAAAGTCATGGAATTCTACACTCTAATTTTCTAGGCCAGAAAAGTCATGGAATAAGTAAAAATCTTGAATGTTTGGAAAAGTTATGGGATTTTCTTGTGTTTAGTAAAGTAAGTAATCTTCGAAAGATAAACTTTCAGGTAATGTAACTTTGAAATAAATTTTCTGTAGCTGTTGACGTAACGTAGCTCTAATATGCTTTAATATATGACAATATTTTGTTTACCATTATATACGGTTCTTTATATTCTCTCTGGGTTTAGTCTCTCCCTCCATGTATTCCAGCTTGCTTGACCTATGTTTAAATAAAGTTTGAATCTGATATGTTTTAAAAGCACTGAGCAAGTGGCCCAAGAAAAATAATTGTGTGACAGTGTGATTTAACATGTAAGGTCATGTATCTTAATGTTTTTATACCTATGCGCCAAAACGACTTTTAAATTGTACCTAATTTTACAGCCTTGAGCGTTTAATTGTCACTCAGAGCACCAATGTACACTCTGGTGTTGTTTTAACTGCTCTGAGAGGAGAGCGTGTAGTTTGAAGGTAGGGAGCATTCTCTTTTCCAGACAAATTAACCATCCAAGCTAACCAAACTGTCGGCTGTCACTACAGACCATCTGTAATAATATCATTAACATTTGTAGTATAGTATACTACAGCCTACAGTTCTGTTTGTGTTTGTGAGTGGTCATGGAAACTTTATTATGGGTCCTTGGAAAGTCATGGAAAGTTCTGAAATTATGCCCATAAAAATGTGTGAGAACCCTGCTTTTAGGACATGATGATCTCCACGTCACTCCAACAATGTGGACCAGAGATAGTGGGGCCTTCCTCTCCAGTCCATCAGGCCCCTGTAGTCATCCTCCTGGCCGCCCTCCACACACCTTATGGCTGCATCATCTGAGATTTCTGCAGATGACAAGATTCAGAATTGTGCTTAAAGTCTGATGCGTAGATGATAAAAAGGAAGGGAGACAGTACAGTCCCCTGGGGGGTGCTCAATGTTACTCACCAGGGGCCTGTTGTTCGAAAGTAGAATTAACCAATCCAGGATAAGTGGAGAAGCGAGGCTGGACAAATTCCCCTAAGTCCATCCTGGCTTAATTGGTTGTTCGAACACCAAGCCAGGCTGAGAAGGCGCGGCTTTGTCAAGCCAGGTGTAACTTATTCAGGTGAGTGCGCGTCCACGGCTTTCTTAAAAAGACCCCGAGATCGATCACAGATTCACCGATGCAGCAATGGAGAGGGCACGTGCCGCATACTTCTCACCCAGTGAGCAGCGTCTTATCATGGACACTTATGAAGAGGTAAAACATATAATCACGAAGAAAGGAAACACTGCAGCGATAATAAAGCAGAGAGAGAGCGCGTGGCAAACAATTGCGGACTGACTGAAAGCGTAAGTAATCTAAAAATATACACTTGCGGCGCAAATGAATCTGTCATAACTACAATTAAAGTTCCTTCCACAAATTAACAGTTGTGCACTTCACTTTAAAGGTGAGCAGTGGAAGTTAGGCAACTGCTGATTTCACACCAGCAGAGTTCGCCCTGGATCAGAACCGAGGCAGGCCGATGATGGAGGAGGGAGGGGGGGAAACCGCCCTCTTCATACAAGGTACATTATTCCAGTATACTGTACATGGAATCAATCATTTTATTCATTCATTAATCAACCATTGGTGTTATGTGGACTGTCTGACTTTGGATTGTCTTGCAGTGTAATACAAATTGACAAATTAAAAGGAAAAACCTTAAAGAAATTGGACTTAGAAATTAAGAAACTAGAGAAAGAAGTATGTGATTTTAATGCACATTGTAAGCATGACGCAATGTATTAATCAATGTTATTTCTCTCTCTCCCCAGCTCCAATCAGACAGTGACTAATCACATTATTTGTCATACTTTTTTTTTAGCACATTTTTAGTTAAAATAGTTGCCTTTTTTGCCTTTAATGGAGAGGACAGGTAAGCATGAGAGGGGGAGAGAGAGAGAGAGAGAGGGGGGGGGGATGACATGCAGCAAGGGGCCACTGGCAGGATTCGAACCTGGGCCGCTGTGGCAACAGCCTTGTAGCTACATGGGGCGCCTGCTCTGCTACTAAGCCACCGACGCCCCCAAAATAGCTGCCTTTTAATGAGTTTTTTTTTTTTTTTTTGTTAAAATAGCTGCCTTTTTATAAGGTGTTTTGTTAAAATAGTTGCCTTTTTGCAGTTCTTATTAAATAGCTGCTTATATCAGGATTGTATTCATGTTTTGTTTTTATAAAAAGTATAGATTGCTTAAGATAAAAGCAAGTCATCTGAGGAAGCAGAGAGCACTGGCAGATGTCAAGGTCCAGTGTGAAAAGAGAAAGCTGCAGGATGTGGAGCTTGACAGACAAAAGAAAGACCTTAAGGAAACTGGACTTGGAAATTAAGAAACTACAGAAAGAAGTAAGTAATTTTAATGCACATTGTAAGCATGACTGTGATGCAATGTATTAATCAATGTTATTTCTCTCTTTCTCTCCACAGCTCAAAGCAGACTGTGACTGATAGACAGTATTTTTCATTTAAATAAAATGAGGTCAAAGAATATTGTGATTTCATCTTCATGTTTTCATTCACTGATGTAAAGTACACTGGAGTTATTGGTCCAGTTAACTGGGACTATAATTTGGGAAGGTCATACAGTTATGATACCTAATAACCACTAATTGTGTTAATGCCAAATACACCTCCTTGTATGTTTATTCCAACAATTAATCCTTTTATTGGTAAAGATATGTGCATGTCAAAGTATGCTTGGGCTATGACAAAAATAATGTTTTAAATGTTAAATGTTTTTTTATTGTAGGCTTAATGTATTTTGTTCAAAATGAGGCAAATACATACATAAAAATATGAAATGACGGTAAAACACATTGATTTCCGATCGCAGTGACAGCTGACTGGACAGATAAGGCACCAGGCTAAACTAAGCCTGGTTGTTAGCCTGGTCGGGACCAGACTAAGTGCACAGAATAAATATTCATGGCAACATATGTGCCTCTGCTTTCGAACAACCGAATCAACGCTAAATTAAGCCAGGATAACCAACATATCCCGGCTTAATCCCTTATCTAGGTTTCGAACAACAGGCTCCAGACATGTGACACACAAACTGCCTGTTGTGGTTGTTTTCCACAGGTCTGTTTCAGATCGGGTCCAAAATTTTGCATGACTGCCAGAGTGACAGTTTGCAATCCAGGGTCACAGTTGATGCATTTTTACCAGAGCAGGAATCTTCAACCGTGGTGCAAAGCACAAAATATTAGGAGGTAACCACAAGAATGTTGCTTGTCAGTGCAAACATTTTCATAGTGAATGCACCCCAAATACACATGTCCATCAAGAAAGAGGGAAAATGGTGACAGGTGGGAGCCAATCAGCATGGAGGGAGGAACACTTAAGGAACCACATGCCACATCACATTTCATCTCCTCTGGGATGACGTCCGTTCATGCCATCTGTTGATTAGATGTGCCTTATTTGCTTTGCAAACATCAGGAGGAACATACTGTTTGACACAGAGGAGGAGGGAAGTGTGGAGATGCGTTAGGCTCAGAGCCAGATCCATGTCGATTTCACTTTTATCATCCCAAGACAAAGGTTACAGCTCTGTGATTTGACATTTTGGCCTACACTGGGACAAAACGTCTCTCACAGAGAGATTTAACCCCGTCTTTATCCTCTTAATTGGTCAAATCCTCAACTAATTGCCTGTCAGGCTGTTATAGAATGAAATTGAATGTATGACAGCACAAGGGGGGAGAAGAAAAGGATAGATGAAAGATGGAGAGAGAAGAAGGGGAAAAAGGGGGACTGAGGATGATCTTTAATGGTCTCATCTTGGTTGCAGATTAGGCCCGCAGACAGACTGTCCTCTGATAGGCTGTCTAATAAAAGAACACTAAATGGAGGCACACTGTGAAGCTATACAGTGGGTAATTGAAAAGCAATTACAATTCTCTGTCTTCATTCCATTAACGCACTTAGAAAAAATTATGAACTTCTTCTAAAGATACTAATGTCACTGTCTTACTCCCTCTAAATATGGTCAACCATTTTGTTTCTTCACCTCACCATCTTTTTTTCCCTTCATGCAGATCCATGCAATGTTCAAACATTTCTCACATATCTTCAAATGCACTTAAGCTTGCAAAAGACAGCTCAGAGTAAAGATGTGAGCCAAAAAAAGTTCTCATACGGATTAATACAATTCTGAGTGGAAGGTTAATTTCATTTTGTCCCTTTTTTTAGAGGAAACACAAGGGTTTTAGTTGCTTTTTTTTTTGTTTGTTTGTTTGTTTGTTTTTTAACCTCCACTAGGGAGAAAATGGTGTTAATTAGCCTACCATAAAACTTCAGTTAAAAGCCTATAGAGTCAGTTTAATGTCCAATCTCTTTTACTGGCCCACTGTGGCTACATATTTTAAAAAATAAAGTCCTGTCTCATTTAGACACGCAGTCTGGTTGCCAAGCAGTTGATTTTTATATAAGGTCTTTGGATCTATAAAACTGGATTGTCGATTACTTGAGCTAACGTTACCTTCTAGATCATACATACAAATATAAATGTTTAAATGTTAGTTCGGTTCCATGAGCACCAGACAACACTGTAATTCATGCAGATTTACCAGTATGACAAAAAAAGCAAGTGGTGACTCCCTTCCTCTGAGGTGCTGTAATCCTTGTTGTCATTAGATAACACATAATTGATATGTTATTGGAAGCCTAATTTGTATACAAGTAATATTCATACTGGTTCAAATAAACAATTTAATTGTACATGCAAAAGTTTGGGCACCCCTGGTCAAAACTTCTTTTACTGTGAATAGTTAAGTGAGTAGAAGATGAACTGATCTCCAAAAGGCATGAAGTTAAAGATGAAACATGCTTTTCAACATTTTAAGCAAGATTAGTGTATTATTTTTGTTCTGAACCATTTTAGAGTGGAAAAAAAGGAAAGGAGCACCATGCAAGAGTTTGGGCACCCCAAGACATTTGAGACCTCAGCTAACCTTTTCCAGGGTCTCAGACCTTTATTAGCTTGTTAGGGCCCTGGCTTGTTCACAGTCATTGTAAGAAAAGGCCAAGTGATGCAAATTCCAAAGCTTAATAAATACTCTGGCTCCTGAAACCTTGTCCCATCAATCAGCAGCCACAGGTTCCTCTAAACAGCTGCCTAGCACTCTGAAAACTAAAATAACCGATGCCTACAAAGCAGGAGAAGGTTATAAGAAGATAGCAAAGTGTTTTCAGGTAACTGTTTCCTCAGTTTGTAATGTAATCAAGAAATGGCAGTAAACAGGAACTGTGCAGGTCAAGTTGAGGTCTGGAAGACCAAGAAAAATTTCTGAGAGAGCTGCTCGCTAGAAAGGCAAATCAAAACCCTCGTTTGACCACAATAGACCTGCAGGGTTATTTAGCAGACTCTGGAGTGGTGGTGCACCTTTCTACTGTGCAGTGAAACCTGTACAAACATGACCTTTATGGAAGAGTTGCCAGAAGAAAAACTGTCCTGCATCCTCACCACAAAATTCAACATCAGAAGTTTGCAAAGGAACATCTAAACAAGCCTGATGCTGTTTGGAAACAAGTCCTGTGGACTGATGAAGTTGAAATAGAATTTGAGCCTGAGCTGACCTGAGCCTGATTAAAGACCCTGAACTTTTATGAGTGTTTTAGTCTGCTTTGTAAGACCTTCTCAAGTTTGTGCTTGACAAAAATGTTTTGAACTGAAAGAGGAAGCTGAAATCATTTAGGTTTGTGTGGTTTGCAGTTCAAATGTCACATTTAAGTATTTCTGTGTTTCTAAAGCTGCACTGATCAGTTACTCATCTCTCTGCTCTTTGGTGCTGGGAAGGTAGCGTACAATGGGTTTCAGCCCAATAGCCAGAAGAAACTGTTGACATTGTATGTTTCTGCAAACCACAAGTAAGATTTGTACAATTCGTACATGTTCTATCACATATTGTTTCTAAAGTGACGTAGTATATGAGCTGACTTTGCCATGAGGAGGTGGTGGGGATGGTGACACTAGGCAAGACACCTGCCAGGCTGCTGACCACTGTTTGAGACCAACAAACAAAGCCAGTTTTGTTTTAGCAACCAGTCACTGTTTTTCCATCGACTTTTTAGTCACCAAACGTGTGTGCTTTTAAGCTTGACATCACTGGGGACAAGGAGAACTCCTTTTGGATGATAATTATCTGTAGGTTTTTAGGACAACAGTGAATACGTAGACACACAGAAAGAAAAAAGCAGCAATCAGCAGTTGTAGTAGTAGTATGTCAGAGAGATTAATATATGGGCATAAAATGCACACTGGCACCTCGTGTGGTCCCATGCATACTGACTCACACAAATACCAGGCAAAGAATAAAAAATTCACCTACTTTCACTATCAGTGACCCGTTGCATATTTCACATAACCCTTTGATCCACTGGTCATGTAAAATTAATGATAAGTGCAGCTTTAAGTCCTCTACATTAAGTAGCTACGTCACCACGTCATGTGGGTCTGGAAACATACAAATGTCTGATAAGATGTCTTTACCTCCACACATGATTATTTTTGCTCTTTTTGTCTACGTGTAAAACTGTGCACACAGTCTCTGAAAAGTAAGGGGATCTAAATGGTAAAAGCTTTCACTCTGTTTGAATGAATCTGAAAAAGGCAAAGCAGTGAACCCGCAGAGATACTGAGCTGTCCTTCATTATTTAGAGTGTGCAGAATGTGAACACTTAGAAGTACAGCAGCGGTGTGAGGTTTGATTCAAGTCCCTTTGCCCTGTCTTCAGTCCTCTGAAGTATCATTAATTATAAGCGCAGACGGTTTCCTTAGGTATTCTGGGCGCAGCATGTGTTGGTTCAAACACCATCCTGCTCACATCAATTTCACTATTAAGTTGGCTTTCTGAGGAGTTATCAAAGATCTGCAG